TATATATATACCTACAAACTACATGCGAGGACGAAAATATATATAAGCCTGTTGATAAGCTTCAAACCAGCAGATATGCCATCGCAAGTGCGTGTAGTCGAAACGACAGACTAATTCTGCCCCCAAAAGTTAGCCGATGGGGTAGCTGCAAATTGTTTGTTATATGATGGGAGAGTTTTTATCGCTTATCCTCAAAAGGTTTCGTGTTAGTGTGTCTCCCAACCTTGATTTCGATGGAAAGATTGCTAATATTGCATAATCAGCCAACATGATTTATTTGGATGCATGATTGTAAAGAAAGCCGGGGTTTTACATCACGTTATATATGAACCTAGTGATTCCTACGATGCGATATTGCAGCCCTTTATAGTTCTCTTGGAAAGAACAAATAGGCGACTACGCTAAACTTGCTGGGGGTGTAGTAAGCAACGCGGAGCTCGTCACCACTCTATCGATGTTCCGTGTTCTCACAGTTTGTGTAGAATTGCGGCGGATCTAAGAACATTTCAAGTGCAACGTAAGCTTGACTTTGTTTCGATTTTGTTTGCATTAGATCGAATAATAAAAAACTAACTCGCGTAACATTTTTCGTAAATAGTTGCTCTACTCGGACGTATTAGTGATTTGCCCCTTTCTTCCTACTTCGCCTAATGGGACGTCGTTTGTATATTACAGCTACAAAGACTGGTTCAATAATCGTACGTGCCGGAAAATTTGATATGATATTACGAAAAAAAAAACTCACACCTTGTAGCCAAGTAGCAATGCGCCATTTGAAATTAGGCGCGCGCAGCTCAGGGATTAGGCTTCGCGGTTTTAATATGTCTACAACCTACTCCTTAAGAAGCTCAGTAAGGTTACATTCCTGTTTTACTTTGTAAAAAAAAAAGTTGAAATTTCACACTAATATCGAGTTCTAGGCTAATCACAGGTTAGAAGTTGGTGAGCTTCACACATAAAAGCTGACTGGTTTATTTAATTTGTTGTTGGGAAGCGGAGGCGAGCGGTTTTCGCCGACGCACTCGACGCCTATATAGCTTGGATGTACCTACTGAATAAACGCAGCTAATTATTTTTGTTTGTATCCCTTTTTCGTTTTACTGGTTAATGGGTTAATGAATGATTCCAACAGTACCCTTTTAGTAGTACCCTTTCGCCCCCCAGTGTCTGAAGCTTTTGCGTTATCAAGTTGGATAATGGCTGTCGATATGTTTCACTCGAGTTTCATATTTACAGCTTATGTCCATAGACAACGTGCCCTAATATACCCTATCATGTTGTAAGCAGTACTTGCCTTGCGTTCCGAAGCGAGTGTTGCACTACTGCGGCATGCAATCTTACACTAGTCCTGATTAACACAAAATATCAACTTACCTTCATTACAGTGACAAGATTAGCAAAAGGCGTTGATTTCGCAGCCATATGAACGATGAATAAGGATGCTTCAAGCTGAAGCGTTTACGCCCATACCCGCTGCCGTCCAACCCCCATCATCAACTTAAGCGTACACAACAGGCTTTATTATTGGCGGTCAGGAGGAAATACTCTACAATCGCCCGTCCTACGCCTTTACAACCGTCGAGCGTATTTATTCTAAAGTGAAATATTGTTCGTTGTATGCGCATATACAATAGATCGTCACGGTGCGACCTACAACTCAGATTGTAATGAATTTACATATATTGTTTGGTGGCTTTTTTTTTCATAAGTATTTCGCAAAGCGAGTCCTAATATAAGGTTAAATACTGTTGTAATATCAATAAACACAATATAATTGTAAGGCTAGTAGTAGCTTCATCATCCAGTTCCGAACGTAAGGAATCCCTGGAGAAACTCGATTGTAAAGATTACATTTAAGTGGATTAGTCGGAGTTCTTCTTGAATGAAATTTCATTTATTCACCTTTACGGATAGTAGTCAAAAACACCATACATACAGGTAAACAACACAGTGTCCCTATATCAGGAAAAAATTCATACATATTTTTTCAATTTCAACATAGAATTAATGTTTTAAAGATGGTACCAAGGAGCAATGAACGGTAGGATATCTGCTACATTTTTTTTCTCGTCTCAAAGCTCACAGGGACTTGGTTTAATATAGGGTCTATGTTGCTGATGCACGGCAAAGCGGGTGACGACATGTATATTTAGCTAGTTCACTTGTTGTTCCTCATCAGACTCAAAGCAAAGAGGTTCCCAATTTTTGCTACCACTTCCTAAGATCGGTCTTCCGCTGCTGGAAGCTCAAAGCGATAATGTGGGTCCTCGGTCAGCAGTGGTGAGTCGGCCAAAGGACACACGAGATGATTTTGGCTTACTATGCTTAATCCCAATGCTGTTTTAAGGAAAGAGGCTTTAATGCGATTTAATTATTTGCAGTTTTCCACCGTGGGATCTTCCCAAATAATGCGTATCCCATCCGTTATAATCGGAGCTACCTTGAATACGTGCGAGTAGAGAGCGATTGCGAGGGGCAAACGTGTACGATTTGATCGCCTATACGGCCAACACTGCTTTCCTGTATCTTCCTGCACAATAAAACTTCTATCTTTCGCGGAGAAGAGCAAGCCAGGGATGAAAATATACATAGGCAACCTGGTAAGGTACAAGGTGCAATAATCGCTGTCCTGCTTCCGTCTCCAAACTTTATCGTTCCTATCTTGGTCAGGTTTACGGTTTGTGATAAACTTAAAACCCGTTCGGCCCGTATATCATTAAATGTGTCATTATGTGCGCACAATATTATTTAAAGTGATTCCTTTTGGCCCTCTTATTTCATCAGGGAGATTATTCCTTAGGTTTGGGTCGTGCCTCTAAGTCAAGCCAGTTTTCTTCGTGAAAGGCAGGACTTTGGCCAGTGTGTCGTCGATGGTTATTCCCTTCTCTTCTGGAGCTGCAATGAAGGAGAAGCTTGAATCTATTCATAGGGAAATCCACTTCGGCCAATGTGAGCATAGCTTTGTCCCGGGCGCTGAGGCGAAGGCCCCCTTGATATCGACAAACGTCATGTATAGCAAATTGCACGATGTAGGCAGTGCTTTCTTCACGTCCGCTATCGGGATCCCGCACGCCGTCTCTGTGAAAAGTTTTTTAAAGAAAATATGTTTCTTCATGTATGCTCTCTAAATAACCGTTCAGTTTCTTAGTCAACAAGCTGGCAAGCAGCTTATAACAAACACTTTTCTTCGCTACTCCCCGCTATGACGACAGTGCGGTTGGGCCGCTCTTTCTTTTAGGCATCATTAAATGAAGTAGCACCTTCTCATTCAGCTGTATGTAAGCATCTATTGAATAGTGTCACCATAGCGTGCTTGCAAATTTTATCAGGACCAGCGGCTTTTTTGTTGCATAGGCTCCCAAGATATTACAATAGTTCACGTGCTGTGAAATTTTTTGAAGGGCATTGCTTCTTCGTACATTGCGGCAAAAAAGAGCGCCGCGAGTTTTAACGTATCTCTTGACGTGAACGCCTCCGAGAGGCCATTTCTGTGGGTTCAGGAGTGTCGTTGTGCGTTAGCGACTTGTATGTTTGATGTTCTGCATCGGCAATCAAACGAGTATCTAGTTGCGCCACATACATTATTCAACCTATAGTTTTTAAAACGGAAGGTAAACTGTGCAACTCGGATTGTAGTCCTGCCATAAGCCTGAAGGCCGTCTGGACCCTCCGCGCAAAGCTGCAAGAAAAGTTGGGCCATATCCTATATTTCCAAGGGATCAAAAGAACTGTACTGTAGAATAGGACATTTCAAACAAATGCTCTGCATACGTTTTTTACCACGTCAAGGGACATAAATTGAAGTAAATAAAAGCATGCGCACACGCAACCACATCAGTCAGCTGGTAGCTAAATCGTCAGCTTTATGAGACTATTTGGACATAATTCATTCAGAATATTTGAATTCTAGCTAACATTCGCTGGAATTTTACTTGCGCCTTTACAAGTTAAAGGCCTTATCTAAACAAGCATAAACTACGCAGAGTCAGAACTACACTTAATTTTTTTTCTGCCACGTATATGCTCGTAATGAATTTCTAGGCATTATTTGTTTTCATTTTTCTTTTTACAAACTTCTTCCAAATCTTCAAGGGTGTCCGGCAAAGGCTCATCCAATGTCTCCGGTAACCACTGAAGGCAGACACATTCAATTGCTGCAGAAATAAAAAATACAATGTGGGGTATAGCTGAATGCGTGGTTCGACCGAGGTCTACAACAAAGGGCGCCATAGCCGCTCCGCATCGCGAGAACATGTGACAGAGCGCGAAACCGGTAGATCTTAATGGGGTAGGAAAGTTCTCATGAACAGCAATCCACTGCGTGAAATTTTGAGATTTAAGAAGGAACCGTATCCACATCATGGCGAGCAAGTTCGGCCACGTTGCTGAACGGGGTATAAAAAACAGAACCAAAGATAAACTAACAACGCTTAACAGGATAGGAACGATCTGTGAGATTCGTCGACCAATGCGTCGGCATACCCAAATACCAATTAGCGCGGCGGGAATTTCGGCGGACGCCGAAAGTGCGTAGTTCAGCTGTGGAGTTCCGGGAAATTTATGCGCATTCAACATGATATGGTAGTACGTGATCGACTCACAAAACCACAGAGTGAAAATGCTTACAGCATTGATTCGTAAGGTTGACAACCTTAGCAGATCACCCAAGGTTGGTTGAGATTTTTCAGGATGTCTCTGGGCCTGGGCAGCTATCCGAACCATCGTTTTCGTCATGTCTGAAGCGGACCGTCCACTTCGCCGCAGTATCCGGTCGATGCATTTTGCAGCTTCGTCAACTCTATTTTTAGCTAAAAGCCACTTTGGCGACTCTTCAATGTATGGGTAGAATGGTACGACGAGCAAAAACGATAACCCCAGAGCAAGTTGCATCAGGCGAAAATTCTGAAACATCCAGGACATAAAACCAATGAGAGCCATGGGAATAACGTAACCGATTCCGAAGCCAACATTCATCAGTACACGGTCAGTGTTTGGCATGACTTCCATAAATAATGTCACAATGGCCGCAGTAAGTCCAGCCGCACAGCCGGCAATGACGAAACGGCAAACGTTAAACCATAGCAGGGACGATGCGAATGTCCCAGCAACACCCACTAATGCAGCTATTAACACGCCAACGTAGAACGTTTTCTTTCGACCAAATGCGTCAGAAAGCTTGCCAAAAATTGTTACTCCGCTAAACGACCCTGCCATGATCGTCGATTGAACGCCCGATCGCATCCAAGAGTCCCTGCATACGAGATTCCATTCCGATGTTGCCGTAGGCCCAAAGTGCTTTGTATCATATACCCAGCCAAACTCGCAGGGTTGACGTAAAGTACCATTCTCCGGCTCGTAGAAGATGATGCCGTTGAAAATCGTTTGAAGTGGAAAAGCTGTACACTCGTCGGGTTGGGCGAAGCTTCTCCAAAGAGTTTTGTTAAGGCCCGGGGGAGCGCTGCACTCGTGAGGTATGTCTGGGGCAATCAACGGCGACATCATGTAGGTCCATGCGATCGGAATCGCCCGTAGTAGGGCCACAGTAAGAACAAGAACTGCGAAAAGATAAGATAAGAAAGAGAAATATATAATAGGTTTGCGGAAAAAATCTCGGGCTTTTTAGAACAAACTTAAGCGACCCCACAAACTAGCGACATCTGCAGATCGGTCGTATAGGAAAAAATAGTTAAATAGTCTAAAAAACGTGGACACAAACGTTGAAGATTTGGGGTGGACTTAAGGGTAGGGGGTTAGCTTAGACATAGGGGATAAGTAGCTTGGTCTGAGGCCTCGAATTAGGGTTAAGGATAGAGGGTTAGCTTAGGCGTAAAGGGTAGCTGGCATTGCCTGAGCTCTCGGGTTGGGGTTAAAAGTAAGGGCTTAGCTTAGGTGTAGGGGGTTAGCTTAGGTGTAGGGGGTTAGCTTGGGTGTAGGGGGTTAGCTTAAACGCAGGATGACTTTGGATGACATAGGATGACTTTGCTTGAGGTCTCGAGTTGGGCTTAAGGGTAAGGGGTTAGCTTAGGCGCAGGGGGTGAGTGGCTATGTCTGAAGTCTTGGGTTAGGCTTAAGGGCAGGAGGTGGACGGCTTTGTTTAAGGTCTTGGGTTGAGCTTAAAGGTAGAAGGCTAGCGGGTAGATGAATTTGTGTGAGTCCTTGCGTTGGGCTTAGGGTAGGGGGTTAGCTTAGGCATAGGGGGGGATGCCTGAGGCCTCAGTTGAGCTTAAGGGTAGGCGGTTAGCTTAGGCTTAGGGTGGCTTTACTTTCTTATTGTTCTTCTCACAAGATCCTAGGTTTTACCTAATTTTTAGACCAAGAAATATAACCCTTGACTAGCTACTTACAGCGAATCTTTTTCAGAATCTCTGTTTTCGAAAGTTGTTCAATTAGTTATCATCTGAACAAAATAAAGTAGACGGTGATAACGACAAAGTACGCTTAATGTAGTGAAAGCGTTAACGAATTTATATAATAGCTGACATTTTTCGAAAAGGCTAGTTTGCAACGATATGTAATACGTGTCATCAAAAAACAGTAGACTCGATTTACCTTAGGCCACAGTTCCACACTTTTTTTGACAATTTAGATTCCTGCAAACATTTTCTATAGTTATCCATTCACACGGACAAATGTAAATATTCTGTAGCATCCCCAATAATGCTAACGTTTATTAGATACGCGTGGCAAACTATGTTTGACTAGGATAAAAATAACTATCTCTAATAACCTAAGGCGCTTTATTAGATGTAGTCTTGGGAACAAAAAACTTCCATATATGCTTGATTGCATATCGATCTGGTCATTGCCTTAGGCTACAATATATCTATCGTATCTACTTAGGGTAAAGCTAAAGCAAAATTCTTTTTAAAGATTCTCAATTTAAGGACATGTGAATACGACACTTAGTAACTCTTTTCGCTAGCACTGTCTCAAACCAGGACAGTATTTCCTCAGTATTCCCATTTTTTTTATAGGAGTCCTATTTTTTCCTAGATCCTAGATTTAAAAATATTGCGGCGTTCAATTAATTCTATCGTATTATCATATCTAAGAAGACTTAGTAACGTACAATGCCTGATATATGATAGAGTATGATACGCAAATGACATAGTTAATTCATAAACTCACTTTTGTACTTGATTTAAATCAGCTAAAAGATTTGCTGTAGAGTGTTTTTACGTACGTCGCATCAGATCCTTGATATTCATGATGTTGTATCCGTTACCCCTTCAGTGAAAATCTCTCAGTTTACCAAGTATTTTCTCCACCAAAATCAAGCGACTTTTGACTGCCATATGGACTTCCAGCAAACAGGGTAGTAGGAATGATCATTTAGCTTTGTTCAGGTTATAAGGAACCCATTTAAAGAGGGCGCTCTAATCTGCCGCGATAGCACTTCAGTAATGACGCATCTTGGCAATTAAATATCAGCTCCCCCATGACGTGTCGAATCTTGATATCGCACTTCTGCCATTGGTCTCCTTTACAAGAAGTTTAAGAACTACTTTTTTGTCTTTATGACAAGATGAGGTCAGCAATTTAATATTTTCTTTATAAATTTGTGAGAAAGAAGCAGCTGTTCAAGTTGCAGCAAGGTTTATTGCAAATATTTAACAACATTTCTAATTGTGCCTACTTAAAGCTTTCGTCAGACCTTTAAGGCGCAAAATCTACACCTGCTATAGTTATGACTTCTTAAATTGTACATAATGCGTATATTTAACTTTTGAGCAAGTTTCAAAGCTATTTGCCGCTCCCTTAATTAAATATTACTTTTCAAACGAATTTATGCGAAAGGTGCTCTTCTTCAACCAATTCGGCTAATGAATATAATTTTAATGTTATTAATTAATAGTTCTCCCATTTCTCTTGTCACTCATTAAAAGTGACAACTTTTTATAATGTTTAATCTTGTTCATATTATAGTCACTATACGCACGTCGCCTGGTGGTTTGGTCCTTGAATAATCAGCAAAAAAATAACATAATAAAAGCCTATGTGTAGTTAAAAAACGCTTTTGGATATGTTTTTAACAAAAAAAAATTTGAAAACGAATGATGACTCATAAACATTTTCATGGCTATTTTGGTCATATTCAAATCTTTGTCATAATATTTATTAATACTTCTTTTGAAGTTGAGCGTAGGAAAAAAGCTATCTTAAAAATACAGTGGAAATGTACCTTCGACGATTAGCACGTTTGCGGATAATTATGGTCGAACGTTTGTTGAAGATACCAAGCAATCTTACATAACTAGAAAAATATAAACTTAACTAAAGGAGGTATGAGGAGAACATGATTCCCCCTGGTTTCTGTCGAGTCTATCGAGCAAAATAGATTCCGCTTGAACACATTTTCCACAGACAAAATCTAAAAAGTGTCGAAATTTTAAAAACAATAATAACTAAGAAACATGTGACTCTGCTAGCGTACGCATAGGACGGCTGTTTTTCTTGAATTCCTTCATCTTTTCCGAAGTAAATTTGTTAATCATTATCCTTTATATAAAATAGAATTCTGCAATACACATAGTTCTTTATTATTTTTTTCTCTATCACAAACAGCTACAGTTGTTTAGTAAAATAATTAAACCATTGACAGATTTCTTTAAGTCGTATTATTTACTATAGAATTCAAAAGCAGAAAAATGATGATATTGGGCTAGGCCCAACAGTCCTCAACCACGACAATTCACCGGGATAAAGGGAAGTTTGGATATAATTTGAAGACAGAAAACGGTAGGCGTCTCAATGGACCTGTCGGAGTATTCACCAGTTCACTTGTGCTCAGTCTCAGATGAAAAGGCAAGAATGTTTTAAGTACTGATTGATTTTATAGAAATTCTACTACCAATCCAATTTTATTGCATTCAGTATTATAACGCTCTCTGTCCGTACTGACTTCAAATAATCCAACAAAAGTACTGCATTGTTTTGTACAATGCAATCCTTTAGTTTGCATTGATACCCCCTAGACCAATTTAATATAAAGCCCCAGATTTGCACGTGTCAATTTATTCCAATAATAGAAGCAGTGTGTAGTATAACATGTTTCTTTTACAATATTCGACATCTCTTTCCTAATATACATTATACACTCACAATAAAAATTCCAATAGATAAGCCAAACCCTCGACGACACCTTTATAATAACTTATTTGAAGAATGCTAAAAACTTACCGTGATAGAGTCCGAATCGTCCTATAATGTCAACGACGTCGCACGGCCCAATGTCTGCCATATTTCGCCACTATCTATTCTGTTTTCTCGTGTCAACGCGTCTAGATGTTTTGGCTATACTGAGCTTTACGACATAAGGACAAGAAAAAGAAGCCTGCTCCAGAAGGGCAATTAAAGGGATTCAACGTCACTTAGATGTGTCTCCACAAATGGGTGCGGCGAATTGTTCTCCAACATCCTCTAGGCCACTGACAATTAACCGCATATAACCAGCGGCTGCCACAGAACCTAGCCTCATAAAAAAACAAGCCAATATGTAAAGCATACTATTAGCCCATATACATACAGTTTACTTGAAAAGGATATAGCCACTAACGAATTTGCTAGAAAATATGCTTTGTGATGACTGAAGCATCTAAGCTTATGACGATCGTGCAGACATTGGGCCTTCTGAACATCACGGTATTGTAGACGCTATCTAGCTGGCTGTAATAGGTCTGCGATACGTTTGTAGTATCTTTTCAGCAAGATACATGGCCGTGAGTTACCTTTGCCAAATAAAAGATCGTGTCGACTATTAAATGGCGAAGTACAAAGTCCATAGTCGTCAAGAAGCTATGTACATTTTTTTTATGATTTTAATTATGACTTGTGCAATTAGCCAATTTTTGTAACTGCTTTCAGATAGGCTTTAGTCCTACTGTAGGAAAAGTCACTGCATGTAAATGTAGATCTCCTTTCTAGTTTGTAGAAATGCGTATAGTGTTAGACAACGATATGGACCTCCTTATCTATAAGCCAGTGTAATTTTTTTGTAATGATGGTTTTAACCATCTTCTTTTTTTTATATGACAGTTCTTCAAAACATCATAATCTTATCAAAAAAAAAATTATATAGGTACTCATTGGTAAAAAACTATATCAGTACTCATTAATAGCATATCAAATAGAAAATTCCATAGAACTTGTGTAGCATAGTATATACGGTTATATACAGTATAAACTGATGCAAACCAGAAGGAAACTGGTACCAGGTGATTTAAAAAGGTTCATATAACGGTTGCAGGATCAGATGCTTTAAGCGTAGTAAAACTCTACGCTATAATCGTATTTTGGGATTGGCAGCGATTTAGTCATGTTATGCAAGAGGGTTAATCGGGACGACATAGTGTCTGCGTTTACTGAAAGCAGAACTTCAAGCGCTACCTACTTTGACTATCTAAACGATGAGCAAAATTGCGCGCATTTAGCAATATTATATTTACTATAAACCTAGATGTAGGAGTGAAAACTGGAGACCAATGGCGGACATCCCGCGAAAATTTAAACGGTGCAGTAAACTTTGCCTAAATAGTTTTATCAAGTCATTTTAAAA